AATTATTATTATTATTATTATTATTATTATTATTATTATTATTATTATTATTATTTTGATATAGTGATCTATTTTAATAGTAATAACTCAATTATCAAATTTATTAGTTTGGCAACCAGCTGATTGGCATAAGATAAAATGAACTCTCTAGAGCCAGACCAAAGAATTTGCCTTTTTTTTCCTCTGCCTTCTCTATAGCATCAAATTCCTTGCTTATGTGTATATGTCCACATGGTGTCTGACTAGTGGTCTGAATTTGAACTGTTTGAAGTTGACATCCCTGTTTTGAGCTTGAAACAGCTGTTTTGAGTTCAAAACAATTGTTTTGCTTTTTAAGTGGATTGTTTTGGGGCACTTTGGAATGACTGAAACAGATTATTTCAAAAGTTATTTTGAACTCAAAACACAGCTGTTTGAATTCAAAATGGTTTACATTCAGAATGTCTTGCACATTGCCACTTCTGACCTGTCTTGTTCTCTTCTGATGTCTGGCTAGCTTCAAAGGTCTTTTTAAATTCAGTTTTGCTTCTTGGCATAGTGAAAAGGGCAAGGTTTGCTTCACTCCAGCTCCAGAAGAGGCAGTAGTTACTTTTTGTTAGCAGAGCTTACTTCTGTGTAGGGCAAGGAATAAAATATATTAAATATAACTAAATCTGCCAATAAACAAATTCCTGCTAATGGAGGACCCTTGGCTAAATCAGCAGCTCTGATATGGATGAGAAAAGTCTCACAAACAGAGAAGTCAAGACAGATGCTGAACAGATCTGGGCAGAAAAACATTAGCCTAAAAAAGTCATGCCATCATATTCCGTCTAAGCTAAAAGAGCCACCTGGAATCAAATGCAAAATGGCCAAATGGGTTGGCAGGAGATGCTGGGACTCTTGGACAGCAAGAAAAAGTTCAGGAAATGCTATGCAGATACTTCTAAGGAAACCAGGCCAGATTCTTTTTTAATCCTTTGGACTTTATAAGAAGCACTTATTTAGAAATGCTTTTATATGGAAGTGCGCAAATGAAGTACTTGGAAGGTTTGGGCACCTGTCCCATTTGTGAATAGTGAGTAGCTACAATTGTAGAAGTTCCTAAAAAGAATCAAAAGCCAGAAAAGTGACAATCATAGTGATAGTAAATCTATTTACCCTGTGCTTTTAACTAAGCACCATACAGACATAGGATAAAAACAGCAATTAATACTGTAACATACTACAGACATTTCTAAAATCACTTTATAGAATAAAGAACCTCTAAACTAAAAGGCTCATGATAGTCTACAGTACTGGGACTATTCAAAAAGAACTAAGGAATCATTATAACCTATTTAATTCTAGCTGTTGTTGGAATAGAATAGATGTAAAATTAAAGAAAGTCATGTTATGGTAGTGTTAGAGCGTATGATGTGTATGAAGGTACAGTAGCTGAAGAATTATGCTGTAATAATCATTGTTAGAAAAAAGAACAAACTTGGAGAAATGAAGAAATCAAAACCATCTTCATATGTGTGAAATCAAAGTATTCAGATTAGGACTAAGAGAACAGGCCAGCCCAGTCTTGCCATTGCGTCTCCATTCATTTTCTTTGTGATCCATTGTATGGGAAGAACAACTGAATGAATTTGCCCATCAGTGATTGATAGTAATGATTGTTCAGGGTCCTCCCACAGGAAGAACCAAGGCACATAGGGCTGGCTTCCTCTCCAGGCATCCCACTTGCCATTACTCCATAATGTGTAATCGATCAGAAGGAGGCATTAATTTGCATAGTGAGTATTAATAGTGTGATGGAGAGCATGCAAATAATGGTTGGTTCTTGCTACCCAAATGAGTTACTTCAGCAATAAAACAGGGCATTAAATGTTATTCCTGAGTGTGAAGGAAAAGGAAGGAATAGCATTGAGGCAATTGCTACTCTCATTCCTGATTTTTAAATAAACGAGTCCCGGTATGTGAGCCCAGTTTCAGTAAGCTTGCTTAAAACGAATTCCAGTAAGAGGAACATAGGTGTAAATAGGCTATGGTTGAGGTCCTATAACATGTTTTGTTTATGAGCACCTGAGACATAGTTGAGTATTTAGAACTCAAGAAATCTGCACCAGGCAGAGAAGGGAGAGCTTGATGTGGGAGTATAGTATAAGAGGCATACTAAGATCCTCTGTTTTGGTAATTCCCAGCATACTGCTGGGGTACAGATTTATGTAATCTGATAGCCAAGAATAGGAAAGCAATTTGTATAATTTCGTTCTATGAACCATTCCAGAATTCTTGGTTCTCAGGTTCTCCATATGCAAGGTCAAGTGGGATTTACACCCTTACAGCAGGGTGGGGAGCACAGTGATGGTGGTGGTGGTGGTGGTGGTGGTGATGATGATGATGGAGGAGGAGGAGGAGATGGAGATTTCCATTTATATCCTGCCTTTTCTCAGCTATTCCTGGGAGGTTTTATTCAGCAACTTCTGGAGAATCATTAATGCCCCACATTTGCCATAGTATGCAAGACTGCTTTTAAAATGTCTCATAGAACAAATCAATCCAGGGTTCTCACTCAAGGCACAAATGAGCAGGCTCAAATGGTCATACTTTGGACACATTCTGCAAAGACCCAGCTCCCTTGAGAAGTCCATAATGCTGGGAAAGATGGAAGGAAAGAGAAGAGGACAACCAGCAGCAAGGTAGATGGGCTCAGATACAGTGGCGATGGGTGTACCATTCGAAGACCTGAAGGACAAAGCTAGTGACAGATAATCCCGGAGAAGGTCTATCAAGAATTGACACCGACTTGATGGCACATAATCATAAAATGTCAATGTTAGATAAACCTATGAAATTTTTAAACAGTAATTTGGAAATTAATAATTCCTCATAAAACCATAGTGTTGGAAGGACCTCAGAGATCATTTTGTCCAGCCCTCTTCGGTTCTCCTTTTTAAGAAAACAAAACAGTTGCTTGAAATTGTAGATTTATTCATTTTCCTACTGATGTATCATTTAACTCTCATTACTCTGCAGTTTAGTCTTTCCCATACATTCTTACTTGCCTGCATTTTGTTTAAAACTCTACACATTTTGACAAAGAGAAAGTGTAGCCTGTTCCTTTATTCCAAAACACGACTACATGACTAGAAATAATAAAGCCAGGAAAAGAGAATTTTACAAAGAATAGTCAAACTACATCGCATTTTGCAGTCACTCCTAAACTGATGTTCTTTTTCCAGTTTCATGCATCCGTAAAAGCAGAGATGGTTTAGCAATATACAGTTGAAAAGATTGGGGTGAGGGAGGAATTCATTAGTCCTTTTCTGATTTTGTTACTGGACATCTGAATCCAATGAAAGGATTCAGTTACAGACCTCTCACTAGCAGGATAAAATAATTTTCAACCTAACTGGTATCCTAAAATCACGTTTCTTGCTAAATTATCTTTGTCTTAAAAAGCGTGTGTGTGTTTTACTGAAAATGAGGGTTAATTAGGTGTTAGTCAGGGAGCTGGCTGAGAGCATACTTCAAAGTATCTAGCCCAAGTAATGCAATCTGAATGTAACTCAGTCCAATCTCTGTCTTTATATTCTACAAAACAGCAAACTAATCTTATTGGAAATTGATTAAGTAAATAATTACTGGAACTAATAGATAATGGAGAAATTGCAAATAATAAAAGAATTGTTTAGGACAATTTTAGTATTGCTCCCTGTAGAAACATGTAATAAAGAAATAATTCCCTCTAAAACATTTCCTACCATTAGGAATAGCATTCAATTCAAAATGCTACATGAAATGCAAATTACTGTACTGTTAATGCAAAATGGAAGCTAGAGTAGTGGGGATGATCAGACATCTCAGAATCTTCAAGCTCATGGTTTACATAATTCATGTTATATTTTGGAAGAGGGTTTATATAGTCCATGGGATGTTGTTTGCTGAAAATCTATGAAGCAGGAAAATTATTGGTTGAAAGTATTGACAACCAAGTTTATAGTAGTGCTTCTACAGAATCATTAAGTGTATTACAAGGAAAGGGAGGAACAGCTGTGTTTTAGTCAAAATAGTTCTGTTCAGTCAGCCATTCTATGATAAAATCTGAAGAAAAATGGAACCACTAAAAGCCCACGTAAAAGTCAACAGGAAAAAAGCTAATTGCATCTCCTGGGGGAAAGAAATTCCATATATATAGTGTCACTGCCAAAAAGGACCTTTTTTTTTTTTTTTTTGTATCTGCCAACTTCCACCCGTCATGTTTGTAGCTGATCTTTGTAGCTGATATATTCCTTTTAACATGAACTTTACAGTTCAAATTACATTTGCAGACTATTTTCAGGTATTAATTCATCATTCTATTTCTTCCCATATAGAAGTATTTAAAAATTAAAAGATTATCAAGATTCAGCCTTGCAGAGCTTAAAGCTACCTTCTCCTACTCTCTAGATATTTATATTAGAATTTCCTGGAATTCCTAGCCATTGACCATATTGACTAAGATGGATAGAAACTTTAGTTCATAGTAAACATGCCACAATCCCACCTGTTATAAATCTGATTTAAAGGTAAAAAAGGGTATGGGTGGATGGGGAGAGAGGGAGGGAGAGAGAGAGAGATCTGTATTTGCATTCAAACCATGTAAGTGTCAATGTAATGTATCTCAGAGTATCCTTTTCAGCAGGAATCCTGGCTACTAGAACAGTGAGTGGGTGGGAAGTGGTTGAATACAGCTGGATCCCTCTGAGGCTGTTTAGGCTGTTAGAGAACACAGACAGACTTGTGATCCACAGAACTTGCTTATACAGTAACATGCTCACGGTCAATTCTGCAAGATTCTGTTGGATAATAGATATATGCCAAAACAGGCATTATAGAATGCTTCATAATATCATTTTAATTTCAGGTATATAATCCAACAGAACACCTATGTAAATAGTACTCAATGTATATCTGTATCTTATTGACATTTTTTTTTTCAAAAGAAAGAGAAGGGGGTTTCCTCTAAATAATTAACTGTAAAATGGGGGGGGGCATTATTAAGAAGAATGTAATAGAGGAAGATACTGTTGGATGGGAAATGCAGTGTTACTGAGAGTCAGGAAAAAGGAAAAAGCTGTTGCCAGGAGGAGCACACTTGTTCTGCCTTTCTCTTTTTACTCCTCATGTGTAAACTGTGAGTGTTTGAGTACTTGAAGCTGCCGAGCATCCTCTATTCATTAAGGTTCTCCATACAAATGAGGACAATGAAAACTCAGATTCCATAACTGGTACAGAATCTCCATGGATAGGGAGGCTCTACCCTGCAAAGGTCCATCCTCTATACTTGGAGGGGAATGAGAGCATGCTGACTAAGCAGGACTAGAAGTTGTAAACATACTTTGGACTAAGAGCCACTAAATTAACTGGGACTTAATGCAGCTTGATTGAAATGACTCTCTGCCCTTTCCTTTTTGCAAGAAGAAGAAAACAAAAATAGTGCACCTCAAAGTCTGTTGCCAGTTTCTACCCCAGCTTACATTGGCTGGATTGAACTCAACAGATCCAGTTGCAGCATAGGAGTGTCCTATGAATACATACATAGCAATATATGCTGTTGAATTCCGTGGGACTTACTGTAGAGTAAATATTACAGGCTTAAACAGGTAATCCTCGGCTTACGACCACTTGTTTAATGGCCATTACAACAGTGCTGAAAAAAGTGACTTACGACCAGTGCTCACACAACCATCCCTGCAGTCACATGATCAAAATTCAGGCACTTGGCAACCAGCATGTATTTATGATAGTTGCAGAATCTTGGGGTCACGTGATCACCATTTGCAACCTTCCCAGGGGGCTTACAACAAGCAAAGTCAATGGGGGAAGCCAGATTTGCTTAATGATCACTAGATTCACTTAATGACTTGATTTGCATAACTGCCCCAGTGATTTGCTTAACGACCATGGCAAAAAAGGTGGTAAAATTGAGCACAACTCACTTAACGACTGCTTCACTTAGCAGCGGAGGTTCCAGTCCTAATTGTGGTCATAAGCCAAGGACTACCTGTACTTGCTGAGTCCTGATTCTACAAATAGCCTCTCTTTCTCTGCATGTCTATGCATATACATGTAGTCCTCACTTAATGACCATTTAACGATGGTCCAAAGTTACCACAGCCTTAGAAAAAGTGCTTTACAATCTGTACTTGTTCTTACGACCATCGCAAATTGTCACCCCCCCCATAGTCATGTGGTTGTGATTTGCAACCTTGTTATAACAGTTGTTAACCAAATCACATGCCCGTGAAGCGAATTCTGGAAAAAAATGTCCATTGGAGAAGCTAGATTCACTTAATGACCATGTGAGTCGCTTAACAACTGTGGTGGTTCACTTAACGACCATTGTAAAAATAGTCATAAAATTGGGTCCAGTCATGTGGTGACTCACTTAATGACTGCCCCACTTAACGACCAATTTTCTGGTCCCTGTTGTGGACATTAAGTGTATGCCTGTGTGTGTGCAAGAGGGTAGTTTTGAAAGGTTCATATCTGTATATGAAGATAGAAGAATTCAGGTCCTGTCTTAATGAATGAGAAAAATTCTAAAGTGAATGTGCCAGAGCATTTCTTTGTACCAGTGAATAAATCCTACATTGGTGTATCTGTACGTCTACTTATATCACTGAATAGTGTACAAAATGTACAGTATTCAAAAGGGGAAAAATTAGTAATTCAAAATATACTGAGTTGAAATAAGCATTCTCCTACTTCTGTATTCATCTTACTTTTGGCTTGATGTAAAGATAATAGTCCTATTAATTCAGTAGTTTGCACACATTTATGTAGACTGGGTTGCTGATCTAGATAATTAAGCTAAGTAAGATGGCAGTAAGACCTTTTCAAATGGTGGGAAGAATCTTTTAAAATATATATCATTTTGCAATCCCAGAGTACATCAAATTAATCCTAAGGGATTTTGTTTAGCTCCTGCAGAACCTTTGTTGTGCAAGTTTGCAGATGGAGGACAAAAAAAGAGACAGAATCAGAACAAATATATACAAAATGGAAGAGCATGGCACAGAGAAGGCGAGGTGAGACTTGTAAGTTCTCATTTCAACCTTTTAATGTTTATGTGGATGTGGGTTAAAAAAGTAATAAAAAATGCATTGCTTTGCCATTCCTCTGTATTGTGCAATGGGGTTTTACATTTCTGGGCTATTTGTCGTCTTGATAATATTAGCATTGAAATTAAAATCATATGTATGTGATCCCTTTTTAGGAATGTGCCTTTGTATTTTACTTTAATTTTGTTTAAAATTATCTGCTGCTTTGTGACTAAGAGTCAAATCAATAAGAACAGTAAACAAAATGCAATAGAATCAAAATTGCACATCAGCAAAGGGGAGGAAATGGCAATCAGATAGCTTTAATTGAATCAAACTGTAACCTAATCACAGCACGGTGAACCAGAATAGCCTCCAAGTCATGTCAGAAAAGCAAGGGGTATTGACACACACCTTCAAAGTTTCATCAAACGTTTGGAGGCTCTTAGCATTTCAGTGAGTTGGCGCCTCTCAAGGGAAGGAGCTCCAACTACAATTACTGTATAGCTGTTCTCGAAAGTACCCTCTTTCCTAGCATGCATGTGTAGTGCATATTGTATGGTTGAACAGCTCAGCTGTATTCTGGCACATGGTTATATGAGCACGTCTCTATCATGAGTCAGCATATCCTGAAGAGTTCAGTAAATAACGATAATATATATAGTAGCTGAGATTTGTATGGGCTTTCAGAGCATGCTTGTGAAAGGGTCAGTGCAGTGCAGTGGGGCATTGCAAATGCTCTCATTGGGGATATGCTGTTGGGTGCCAAAGCTGAATTAATGTCCAAATGTGTTTTGATTGGGACTCTGTGTCTTAATGAATAAATATGGGGATTCCTCAATATTTTTCTTCATATATCAATTACAGTAAAAATTATTTCTTGAAATACTGTGCTAGCTTGTCATTGTATCAGTTTTTATTAATTCAGACAGATGGGCTGGTGTTAATGTTTTGGTTGTATGTAACCACTCTCTTTATTGATGATTAATTGCTCCTTTTCCTAAAGGCTGGGATGACACTTACTTATGATCCAACTACAGCTGCTTTACAAAATGGGTATGTAGATTAAGCACTTAAGAAATGCAATTGATGCTCTTGTATCTTTTAAAAAGTTAATAATAAAGATGTATGTATTTTCTAGATTTTACCCCTCACCATACAGTATTGCAACAAACAGAATGATCACTCAAACATCTATCACGCCATACATAGCTTCTCCAGTTTCTACATACCAGGTGTGTATTTCAAGTTCAGCAGGATAAACAGTAGAATTACATTTTCATTGTAAGTGGCTCATCTGTATTATACATGTTGAAAAACCTTATCAAATCTGGGCATATCTGTATGGGTAGCTCTCAGGTCTCAAATCCCCCAGCCTTCAAAGCCATTGATAAGAGTTCTAGAAGTTAAAGTTATCCATCTGGAAGGCAAACAGGTTGGGGAAAGCTGGTGTAGAACAGCAAAGATAGTGAAGTGCCACGTTGAACAGCTTTTGTGTAAATTCCACACAAATTTCTAAGTACATTGCTTCTTGGTTTCCTCTTGTACAGAACTGGATGTGTGCAGCATGGTGCCATAAAAGCTTCTGTCACCTAAATGTATTGCTAAAGTAGAGGTAATGCACTGCGTTTCAGGGAACCTTGAAAACCTCAGATTCTGTATCAGATTTTCCCAGAGAACAGTCCTGCCCCCCAAAAGCTTCCTTACTTACTAGGGAGCAAAGGATTTCCCTAAAATTGTATCATGTTAGTGTGTGCTACAGGAAAAATCCCTGGAGTGTTTATAGACTATAGATCGCCTGTTCACTTCCTTTCCATTTAGCGCAGGATCCCACAAAACGTTGGGGAATAAACCCAATGAAGCATTATGATAACTCAAGGCTGAAGAAGAGGGTCAGCATGCTCACATTTTCTTTAACCTCACATCTCTCATGAGAGGGATGTGTAAGAACCCCGTGCTAGCTTAGAGAGGGAAGGAGAGAAGAAAACAAAACCAGTGTTACAGAGAACTGCTAAACAAACACCTTTTCCTCTTGCCATCAGGGAGTGAAATTGGGTTGGTTAAGGGGAAAGGAACTTTGTTCAGCCAGCGTGGGATCCCTGCCCAATCCTGTGGCTCTACTCAGGGTTGGGATTGGCAGATGCCCAGTGTGCTTGGAAGAAAGGCTCTGCCAGACAGGAAGGCCCTGGGAAGTCAATCCCACATTCTGCTGAAGGGGGCTAATAGCTTTCACAGACGTTACTGGCTACTGCTTCTGAGTCCTCCTCCAGATGGAGGTTTTCAGCAAGCAGTGTGGATAAATGGCTCCATTTCCCCCTAAATCAAAGCTGGTGCGTGTGTATACAAAGAACAAAGAAGGGGTTGCAGAGTTGCTTCCCTCTACAGGCTATTGTGGGTGTGCATAATTTGTTCATAAAGGCAAGTGTAATTTGTACCCGTGCTGATCCAAACAGGATATGAACCTGTGGAACTTGCCATTCTGAATCTTCCAGTATGCTGTTTTACAGTTCGCTGTTTGAAAAAGAAAGTGGACGCATTAACACCTAACAGTTATTACAGAATAAAGAGATTCAAAGGCAGCAAATTTATCTTAGGCAGAAACTTTTTAGAATTTTTTTTTTTTTCTCAGAATGTCCAGATGATCCTTACCACAGCTAAGGTATACTTTCCTCCAGTTCCATTGTGTGGCTGATCTGCTCTACTGACTATTCCTTTCACCCAGAGTATTCAGCCCAAATAAAAGCAAAATAACTCTCAGTCACATTTACAAGAAACTCTTGAAGTTAACTGCAGTCAGAGTTGGGTAACCCTAAGGCTCAACAAGCAACTTGCTCTACTGTAAATCCCAGTCAGTCTGAGAAGAAGGAAACAGATGTTACCGCTTAGCCAAACCCCTCCCTCTGCTTGGTGTCTGTGAAAACTCCACCGAGAAGATCGCATCCTATACTCTTGCAGTGCCAGACCGGGATTGCTGGTGTTCAGCTTACTGCTTATACTTAAGCACAAATGGAGGAACCATTTACTGCTTAATCATTTATCATCTGATTATAGCCTTTGAAGGTACTGCCCTAATACATTTTTGGTGGAGGGGATAATGGTGTCTTCCAGGTGATGGATAGTGTGAATTAACTCAGGCTTTCAGGTTGTCCTATATTGGAACTGGAATTTCCACCTCCTGCAGCCAACCTATAAACCAGCTCAAGCCCAGTTCCCAACCTTGAGGCCTCAGAGGATGGTCAAGTGCAGTGCTGACTGAGGATGGTAGTCGTCATCCAACGATAGTTATGAACTTAAAATTGTCAGAGGCTAGTTGAAGATACAATGAAACTTGTATAAGCTATTCATCATTAATACAACTTTGTTGTTAAAAATGTTCATTATTTTCCAGGTGCAGAGTCCCTCCTGGATGCAGCCTCAACCATATATAATGCAGCATCCTGTAAGCATGCATGGTTTCTCTTATGGTACTCTGAACCTGCCTTTGGAATGGGGATGGGGAGGAAATGGTTTCGTTCCCATTTTTATTGATTTACTTTCTATAGCAGGCACAACCTACTGCACACACTAAACAACCGCTCAGAGTTGCTGGGAGTTGGGCGTATTATTATTATTATTATTATTATTATTATTATTATTTACTTAATATAACATCATAGAACCCATCACTCTTGATAAAAAAAACAAATAATCTCATCTTATCCTGAAGCCCTGTAATCTAAACAAGTAAGTGGCTGTTGGATCAATTCCAGCCACCTCTGTTGAAACAAAGTAATAGCTGTCGTGGAAAACAAAGGTGGAAAGCTAGAAAACTGGGATGAAAACCTCTGGGTCTTCTATAGTCCCTGGAAGACACTAGGATGGTTTATCACGGGTCCCTTCCACATTTGAAGGGCACTAGTTTGGGGATAGCTATAAATACATACATACACAAACAGACAAGTGTTTGTCTGTGTCTTTAGATACACAGTTCCTGATGGGGAATTCTAGATACGTCACTTCTGAAGCTTAGGAGTTAACTTTGGAAATGCATTGTGCTCGCTTCTCATGCTGAATTTAGTTTAGAGAAACTTGCAGTCTACATTTGGGGGTGGGCAATATTTGTGGAGCCATTAATGGAGCCCAGTGTAAATACTTCATCAGCTTTACTGGTGAAATTACTTACCCAGAAATATTCTTACTAATAGAACAAAATAGCCCGGCTGGATTAGACCAATGTTGCATTTAATCCAGCATCCTGTTTCCCGCATGCTGCAAAGCCCCTTCCAGTTCTGTGCCGGACGGCCAGATGCTTCAGGGAACATTTTCCTCCTAAAGAGCTACTGCAGTGAATGGAGCCAGTGACTATAACATCCATTTTCTTTTTTGGTTGAGGAGGGGGAAAAAACTGTTATAAAAAAACAAGAGTTGTGCAAAAGGCTGAATTCCCAACTATTGTAATAGCAACTTTAATGTATGCTGTGTTTTATCTAGAAAAAAAATTGTCCTTTATAAGGGTTAGAAAACATTCAGGAAATGCCTTGAAGGTGACATTTTCCCTGTGGTTGAGGGAATGGAAGATTCCTGCTCCTATAGCATTCAGTGGCATCCCACATACTTATTTGTGCCTTAAATTGAGATAATCTCTCAGTGCACAGTAATTTCATAATGACATGAATTTCATAACGTTCATCTTCCAGCATGTGCTTTCTCAACCAGTCATTTCAAAAATGAGTATGCTGTTTTAATAAAGATCCATAAATGGATCTTACTGAAACAGTCCTGACCCAAAATCTTTTGTTTTCTATAAAAATGTCTTATGCATGCAACTTTGCTAAAAAAGAAAGAAACATCCACAGCAAGAAGTGTTTGAAATCTGTCCCTTTCCTTCTGGCAGGGGGCTGTATTAACTCCTTCCATGGAGCACACCATGTCTTTGCAGCCAGCATCGATGATAAGTCCACTGACCCAGCAGATCAGCCACCTTTCACTGGGCAGCACTGGAACAGTATGTCGCAATTCTAATAAGCTCTGTTCATAAGCACTGCAAAAGTTACTCTCTGTTTTACTGCATTTTCACTACCTAGTAACAGTGCATCCACTAGAAACCCTGTCCATTTGCCTTAAAATTCCTAAAGCTTGCCATTTTAATTTTTTGAAGAGAGGAGCATGAACATTAGCAGATTTGAAGGGTGAATGCAGCTGCTTTTCTTCCCCATATCTTTCCAAAATACATGATTTTACAGCATCCATATTGATAGTGGTAGTGTGGGCATACATTGTGAATGAGGTATTGAATCTACTATAATTTATCCATCTCTAATCTGCCAACAAGAACTGGCATTACTAGATGAAATACCTTACAAAAAAAACAGAAAACACTGTCACCAGTGTCTTTGTTAAAACTATTTTGGGAACCACAGCCTTTCTTTTTTGAATAATCTGAGAGCGTACATTGATTAGCTAAATTCATCATAGTTTATCTGAATAAGTTATAACAAGCTTGGGTTCATGCATTACTCCATCCTCTCCATCATACATTTGGATGAAAGTTGTATGTACTTTCAAATACCCTATGTTGTGTTTGGAATTAGCAAATTTGAACCTATGTTAACCATGGTTTGCCATTTCAACTAAAATTATGAATCATGGCTAAGCAGAAGCAGAAGAGAACCCTTCCAAGCAAGTCATGGTGCACATAAGTCCCATTTTTATTGGGCCTTATATGTAAGACACTAACATGCTTGAATGTGTTCCATTGAGCTGAATATATTATCTGCCTTTTTTGTAGTACATGCCTGCCACAACAGCTATGCAAGGAGCCTATATTCCCCAGTACACACATGTTCCAACAGCAGCTGTTCCAGTTGAGGTGAGAAAATCTTTACTAATCCAAATGTATTACACTATTGTTGTCAAGGTGCCCTAATAAATAAATGAGAATCCTACATATGTCTTCTTAAGCATTTGCTTGATAGAGTGGGCTAAAAACAACTATGGCAAGAGAGTGTGTGTGTGTGTGCTTGCATGTGTAACCTTTGTAGAGAAGCAATGATGGAATTTGTAAGCAGAATGGCAGACTGCAGCAAATAATTCACTACATGATATCACAAATATTAGAAACTGTCTTGATACATTATCATGTAAATGCCCCACAGCATAATTTGGAGAAATAATTAAAAACACCTTTCTTACTATAGCTATTTTTTGTATTTTTACAGGAGGCCAGTGGTCAGCAGCAAGTTACAGTAGAAACATCCAGTGATCATTCTCCATATACTTATCAGCAAAACAAGTAATTTGTGAGGTAAAGTTGTTAACATATTTCTTCAGAAATAAATTGTAAAAAAATTCTTAATCATCCCAAAATAGGGAGAAATACAGACTCTGCTAATAGTTTTATGAAGCCAATGTGAAAAAATGCTGAATTAGGTATACTGAATGTTTTCTCAGTGCCTGCAATATATAAACAAAAGTTGTCTGCTACAAGCATGAACTTGTCAAGGAAACTTCTGTTGATTGTAGAAAAATACATTTTTTGCAGCAAATTCTGATCAGCTTGCTTAGGATACTGACCTCTAGAGTATCTATCATAGAGACCCACTCTCATAGTGCCATATTGTCAAATTTGGATTTAAGCATTTCCCTGGATTTTTACTTGCCTTCCAATTAACATTTTAGGAAAATGCATTTCTAAGTATCTGTCATCTATGTTTTAATTTTGTAAGATGCCTTACTCTCTGCCTGAAAATGACAGAAATATTGTATGCATAATTGGGAAAGAGAAGCTTAGTGCTTCCATTTTATCCATATAAAAATATAAAGCATTAGATCTCACATCTTCTTAGAAATTTTAAGATCAAATGCAGGTTATATGCATGCAGACATCAACTAAACCATGGCTTTTTCCACCAACTTGGGGATTCTTTTTTTTAGCTATTCTTGTCTCTGTGAATGTGTTAAAGGCCTGGAAATGGCGCAAAAAGAAATGGAAAATAAGCCAAGAATGTTTTTTTTAAAGCCAAGCATGTGCTTTTTTGGCAGGTCAGGTCACTTCACAGGTGCACTTGGTAAACCAGTCATAAACCCTTGTTTTAAACATATATACTTCTCTCAAATAAACATAGTGTATTCACTGTCCTTCATTCATACATACCTTTGTGCAAGGTATGAACCAAGCTCCGCACACAAGAGTTTCTCCTTTTAAGTTTATAGCCTCAATAAAATCCTACAACAGGCTTAGATATTAAGAATGAGATATTTGGGAATGAAATGTATTTTTTTCTTCTTTTTTCAGATATGTGGTGGTGACCTTGCCTAGAGAAGGATGCAAAGGCTGAAACAATCATGGATTTTACTGATCAATTGTGCTTTAGAAATTATTGACAGTTTTGCACAGGTTCTTGAAAACGTTATTTATAATGAAATCAACTGAAACTATTTTTGCTATAAGTTCTATAAGGTGCATAAAGAAAAAGAAAAAAAAAAGATCTTAAAATTCATCCTAGTAGCTGTTCCCCTTCCCCCCCTCGAGCAGGTTTATTTTAGTAAGAAATTTTTTATCAAGTGTTATGACGCAAAAAAAAAAAAAAACTTAAAAATAATTCCGGTCATGCACAGATCGAAATGGAGACACATCCATGTGCATGACAGAATCCGTCTCTTGGTTTATTTTTATTTTGTTTTAACTTTTTAAAAAATGTATAATTTTTTTTTTGAAGTTTAAATTAGTAAAACATCCACGCTGATGTTCTGTGCTTGCTGTGTGAGTCTCGCTCTAGTGCAGTGTTGCAATTGTAGGGTCTGTTTTCATAGCTTTCTGTTTTTTTTTTTCTTTAAAAGTAGTCTGAAGTGTCTCATCTTTTTTCTATCAATTCCAATTTGCCTTAACTCTTTTAATGCTGTAGCTGTTTCAGTACGTAGTCCAAACTAATGGTGTAGAATGCTTTTGACCAAAGCTGGTCTATTATGCCTTGTAAAACAGCAGGATAGGGCTTTTAAGAGGTAGTCGATAAAAATTGCTGAAAAATCTGGCTTTTTAAAAATGTGTAGTAAGTGTTTTTAATGAATTTTTTTTCCTCACATAATAATGTAAGGTTGTGAAATGCAAGATTGGGGAATAGGAAATGTTTTGTGTGAAACACATTTTTCTGACTGGGGAAATTTTAATAGAATAAATTGTTTGTAAGGCCTTATG